ACTGGAGGTGCTGCTGGAGCGGGCACTCCTGCTGGGGGTCCTGGTGATGTCCCTGCTGTTTCTGGCGTCCCCACGCGGCCTCGACCGTACTTCGTTCCACTCATGCAGCAGGTTCTTGGTCTTACACCTTCTACTGGTCCTCCTCCTCCTCCCTTAGAGGGTCCACAGCCTATCCAGTCACAGTCACAGCTACAGCCTGCCTCCCCTTTGCCTGCTCCTTCTCCCTACGCTGGTCCTACTGGAGGTCTTACTGAGCGTCGTGAGCCTGCGTCTTGTCCTGCGTCGCCTGTTCGTGCTGCGCGCGCTAGTGGTCGCGGTTCGCGTCACCGTCCTCCTCCTGTCCCTGGCACGCACCGGATGTCTCTGCGTCCGTCCACTGCTCCTCTGCGTGCCCCTTTGCCTTCTCCTCCTGCGTCCTCTCTTCCTGCTCTTGCCAACCCGGAGTCGGACTCTCTTCGTGCTGCCAGTCCTACTGTCACGCGTCTCCTTGCTACTGCCGTCACTGACCCTTCTTTGGAGTCTACTGCTGCGTCTGCCCTTGTTACTGAGCTCGTCGACTTTGCTGCTCGCTGTCGCCTAGACTACGTTGCGAGTCTTGTCGCTGAGTCTGAGTCTGTCTGTCCTCCGTCCGTCGGGGGTGAGTGTGCCCTTGGCACGGACGTCCTTGAGGACAGGCAGGAGGAGTTCCAGTGTCTGGCCGCTGCTTCACCTCATCTCGTGTCCGTACTGCTTACCCCTGAGGGAGACCCGGATGCACTTGACATCCCGACTCCGCGCTCTTACGCGGAGGCGATAGAGGGTCCCTAGTCCTCTCAGTGGCAGGCAGCTATGGATGCAGAGATGGCTTCCTGGAAGTCCACAGGCACCTACGTTGACGCTGTCCCCCCTCCTGGGGCGAACATCGTCAGTGGCATGTGGATGTTCGGGGTGAAGCGGCCGCCGGGTTCTCCGCCTGTCTTCAAGGCGCGTTACGTGGCTCGTGGCTTTAGTCAGCGGCAGGGAGTTGACTACTTTCAGACCTTCTCCCCTACCGCGAAGATGACCACTCTTCGGGTACTGCTGCACGTTGCTGCTCACCGTGACTACGAGCTGCACTCTCTCAACTTCAGCACTGCTTTCTTGCAGGGCAGCCTGCACGAGGAGATCTGGCTGCGCCGCCCACCTGGCTTCACTGGGTCGTTCCCTCCTGGTACCCAGTGGAGTCTCCGGCGTCCAGTCTACGGTCTCCGCCAGGCGCCACGTGAGTGGCACGACACACTGAGGACTACACTGGCGGCACTTGGGTTTGCTCCTTCTATTGCCGACCCGTCGCTGTTTCTGCGCACCGACACCTCACTGCCGCCGTTCTACATCCTCGTGTACGTCGACGACTTGGTCTTTGCCACTTCTGACACAGCTGATCTCGCTCACGTGAAGTCCGAGCTGCAGAAGAGACACACGTGCACAGACCTGTGTGAACTGACAAGCTATCTTGGCTTGCGGATCACCCGGGACAGAGCACGGCGCACCATCACCTTGACTCAGTCACACATGGTGCAGCAGGTCCTTCAGCGCTTCGGCTTCACGTACTCCTCGCCTCAGTCCACTCCTCTGCCTACGGGACACTCGCTCTCAGCTCTGCCTTCGGATGAGTCCGTAGAGTCGAGTGGCCCGTACCCAGAGCTTGTTGGCTGTCTCATGTACCTGATGACCTGCACACGACCTGACCTTGCATACCCTCTTAGCATTCTCGCACGCTATGTCGCTCCTGGGAGACACCGACCAAAGCACATGGCTGCAGCGAAGAGGGTGTTGCGCTACTTGTGCAGTACGTCGGGCATGGGGCTAGTGCTTGGAGGGCGCAGTCCAGTGGTCCTCACTGGGCACGCGGACGCTTCTTGGGCTGACGACCAGGCTATGCAGCGGTTGTCACAGGGTTACACCTTCAGCCTTGGTTCCGGCTCTGTTTCGTGGCGGGCTACCCGCTCGTCTTCTGTTCTCGGCTCCAGTTGTGAGGCTGAGATCTACGCGGGGGCTATGGCTGCCCAGGAGCTTCGCTGGCTCACCTACCTGCTGACCGACCTTGGAGAGCCGCCGCGTTCTCCTCCAGTCCTGTACGTAGACAACAAGGCCATGCTGGCCTTGTGTCGAGAGCAGCGACTGGAGCACAGGACAAAGCACATTGCTCTCCGCTACTTTCTTGCTCGTGAGCTGCAGCAGCGTGGACAGTTGCGACTTGCGTACGTGGCCTCTGAGGCCAACACTGCTGATGTCTTCACCAAGGCACTTGCGCCTTGTGATCATCAGCGTTGCTGCACGCAGCTGGGTCTTGTGCCTGTTTTGCCTCACTTGCTCACTTCTTGACCTTGCTTGTACCTTCACCTATATATACTCTTGCTTGCTTGACTCTTGTTTATCTCTATATGTGATCTTGCATGTGAACTGGCCTTTTGGCCTTTTGAAGTTGTGCTCGAAATGAGTGGTGACTTTGTGATCCACCCTGAGCTTTGCTTTGCTTTGCTTGACTGGTCTTGTGACCCCTTGTTCTCCGCCACTTTGCCTGTGGGGGTGTGTCAGAACATTATAGCTTATGCTGTTGTGTAGGCTATAGTGGGGTATCCCATAGGGGGTACAACTCAATTAGGGTTTCATATTTGTACTCACTTCATTCATAGTTCATTCATTCTCGTTCACTTCTTCTCAGGCGGTGTTACCTGACTGGCGCCGACGTGACAGTACGGACAGACCACCGATCACTACAGTACTTACGCGCCCAACCGAATCTCAATCCACGACAGATTCGCTGGTTGGACTACCTCGAGTCCAACTTCCACTACACGGTTACGTACAAGAAAGGCGCATCCAACATCGCCGACGCACTCACCCGCCCTACCGGCCAACTCCACGCCATCCTACTCGCCCAGACCAACCCGCTTTTAACAGGCCTTTTCACCCACGGATACCGCACGGACCCATTTTTCACGACTGGAAACTCACAACAACTGGCAGAAGCTAAAGGAGTTTATTACGTAAAAACAGGCACCAGCCGCATCTGGGTACCCACGTACTCACTGCTGAGGGAGCTGCTACTGCAGGAGGCACACGACGGAATTACCTCGGGACATTTTGGGGCAGAAAAAACGCGACAGCAACTGCAGCGGTATTACTACTAGCCAGAGCTGTTGACCGACGTGCAGCAGCACGTGGGCTCGTGCCCCACGTGTCAGGTGATGAAGAGCTCGAGGAAGCGGAAGGCGGGTCAATTGCAGCCGATACCACCGCCCGAGCGCGCCTGGCAGCAGGTCACCATGGACTTCGTCACAGGGTTACCTTCGAACCCTGGGGGTAACGACGCGGTGATGGTCGTCGTTGATAGGTTGACGAAGATGGCACACTTAGCTGCATGCAAAAAGTCGATCTCAGCCGAGGAAACCGCTCGTCTGTTCATCGCAGCCGTTGTTCGCCTGCACGGGATACCAGCAGCAATTATCAGCGACAGGGACACGAAGTTCACCAGCAACTTCTGGAAGAACCTCCGGGAGCAGTTCGGGACCAGGCTACAGTTCAGTTCGTCGTACCACCCCGAGACCGGCGGTCAAACGGAGCGGACGAATCAGACGATGGAGCAGTTGATTCGTGCCACGTGCGACGACCCTACGACCTGGGAGCAGCAGTTGCCGCTGATCGAGTTTGCATACAATAATGCCACGTCAGCGACGACGCAGCAGTCCCCCTTCTACCTGAACTACGGGCAAAACCCTACAGTGCCCATGACGCCGAGTCCGGACAACCCAACACCACGTGCACAGCAATTCGCCGAAATTCTGCAAGCTGCCCGCACTAGAGCCGCAGAAGCAATTAAAAAAGCAAACGACATCGCTAAGCGCAACGCCGACCGCCACCGCCGCCCAGTCACATACCAGTCAGGGGATTACGTACTACTCGACAGGCAAAATCTGCGACTGCCCGACGTACCAAAACTCCGACCGCGCTACTGTGGCCCATTCAAAATCAGCCACATGATCACGCCAGCAACCGCGTACCTACTATTACCGACCGACTGGTACCGGTATATCAGCCCTTCGTTTCACACCAGCCTGCTTCGCCCCTACATCCCAACCACAAGCCAACTGCCTCGCCGCCGCCCGCCATCCATGACTCGCCCTGCATCGGAGCCGATCATCGCGCCCGAAAAATTCCTGAGCCATCGGATTCGACACCCCACGGGAATCAAGAGGATTGAATTCCTCGTTCGATGGAAGGATCGCACGCCAACTGAGGACAGCTGGGTGCCCCTGGCCAACATCGAAAACCACCCGCAAGTGTACCTGAGGAGCCGGGGCTTCCGCGATATTCACGCACTCGCGTAGCGGAGGGGGCTTCTTTGGGGGGGGGGGGGGGGTAGTGTAAGGAATTTTCTCGATATTCCTTAGAGCACCCTGCAACATCGCGTACAGCAGCAGCCGTTGTTCGCCCGTTACTGCTAACGGGGCTTCGCCGACTTCGCGCGCACTGTTTCACCAAACCTCGCACTGCTGGCCTGGCCGTGTCGGCCTACGCTTCGGAACTAGCCCGAGCCTCGCTTCCAGCGTAGCACTAGCTAGCTCGCACGCACCGCGTTACCGTTTGCATGTTTCGCGTATAAATGTTCGCTCATGCCTTCGCTCACATTTTGTACTCGTTTGACACCTTAGTGCAATTCTCGCTACTTCGATCCATTGCACCCGTAACAAGGCCCCAGAACCTCAGCCTAGCCTAGAAGTTGTCGCGCTTCGCGCCGTGTTTTTTGTCAGACTGGTTTTTGGAAGTGAGTGCGTAGTCCGATTTTAGTGGTAGATTAGTGGTGCTCTGAAGACCTCAGGTTCTGAGAACCACCTTAAAGGGATATTTCGCCTCATATCTCCGGCTGCGTTAGATTTCCTGTGTATGGGGGTTCGGTCGACCATTACTCAGCGTAGTGTCTCGAATTAACTTCTGAGCCGAGTCGACTGAAACGTTCGTTCGATAATTAGTTCGTCTCCATGGGAGCGTTATCCGAGTTCGGGGGGGGTGGCGGAGCCGCTTCCGCGGACTCTTCCGCCATCGGCGGAAAGAAGCCCACGCCGGGGCGCGGCGGGGTCGTTATTTCCGCGTCCCCGGAAGAATCCCGCGTGCGCGCGATCTCCGAGATCGTGCGGGCGATGATCGACGGCGTGCGCGCGGGTCGCGACGTCAATTTGAACGCGATCAAATCCGACGCGTCGCGAAAGCACGGGCTGTCACGCGCTCCGAAGCTCGTCGAGATCATCGCCGCGGTTCCCGAGGAGCACCGCGACGCGCTGATTCCAAGGCTCCGCGCGAAGCCCGTTCGCACGGCCTCGGGAATCGCCGTCGTCGCCGTGATGTCGAAACCGCATAGATGCCCGCACATAGCGACGACAGGGAATATTTGCGTGTACTGCCCTGGCGGGCCCGATTCCGATTTCGAGTATTCGACGCAGTCTTACACCGGGTATGAGCCGACGAGTATGCGCGCGATTCGGGCGAGGTACCATCCGTACGTTCAGGCGCGCGGTCGGGTCGACCAACTGAGGCGACTCGGGCATAGTGTGGATAAGGTACGGGTGGGTCACAGCTTCTTATATAATCACAAGCTTCTCCACAATCACATCCGCAGCATATCGGTGGAGTACAATGCACATACATCCTCATGGCTGGCACCTTCTTGTCCCTCCGTGGCGATTCATATCCTTGCACTCAAATCCTCTCAATACAGTCATCCTCTCCACAATCACTCCACAACCACATCCCCATAAACAGGTGGAGTATATCCTCATGGGCGGCACCTTCAGTCACTGCCAGCAGACTACCGTTGCATGCCAAACGCTCTCCATGTATAATCAACCCCTCCATATAATCACCGTCTCCTTTTTATCACCCCCTCCATATAATCACCCTCTCTCCGCCATCAGGGGGAGTATACTGTATATCACATGGCCGGCACGTTCATGTCACTACCAGCAGATTACCGGGACTTTTTTTCGTGTGCATGCAATCTGCACAACGCCCTCTCTGCTCTGCAGTCACACCACGCTCTCTGTAATCACACCCGCCTCGCCCCACCACCCTCACATCTCCGCCATCAGGTGGAGTACATCCTGATGGGCGGCACCTTCATGTCGCTCCCAGCGGACTACCGTTACATGCCAATTCACCCCCTCCATATAAAATCACCCCCTCCATATAAAATCACCCCCTCCATATAATCACCCCCTCCATATAATCACCCCCTCCATATTATCACCCCCTCCATACAATCACCCTCTCCCCACCATCAGGTGGAGTACATCCTAATGGGCGGCACGTTCATGTCCCTCCCAGCGGACTACCGCGACTTCTTCGTGCGCAATCTCCACGACGCGCTCTCAGGCCGCTCCTCCGCGTCTGTAGCCGAGGCAGTGCAGTACGCCGAGCATGCCGCCACACGCTGCATCGGCCTCACCATCGAAACGTGAGCACATCCGCACATAATTGCTTCAGGAACGAATGTTCACTCTCCTGGTTTCCAAGTTTCAACTCTCAGCGCCCTTCCCCTCCTCGCCTCACTCTCCTCTCCCCATACTGACTGGGACCTCACCTCGGGCAGATTCTACCGTACAGGTGCATGCAGCGTGCAATCGACCCCTCATCCCCAACCCTGCCAACCCACCTCGCCTCCTCTCCTCCCGTCCCTGCCTGCCTTCCACCCATCAACCCACCAGCCGTCCAGACTACTGCCTAGGACCGCACCTGCGGCAGATGTTAGCATACGGGTGCACGCGGCTGGAGATCGGAGTGCAGAGCACTTACGAGGACGTGGCCAGGGACACCAACCGCGGCCACACTGTCGCTGCTGTCGCCGACTGCTTCTGCCTCGCCAAGGACGCGGGCTTTAAGGTGCTCTGTGAGTGTGTGCTTTAAGGTGTACTACCTGCCTGTTGTGTGCTGGCTACTACTGGCTACTAACTAGGACATACCGAATCCCAATGTGGCCATGGGGAGGGACATGGAGTCTTGCCTTGCATACCTCACCCTTCTTCCATGTCTGAAACCTTCTCTCTGTTCCCTCACACTTCACTTCTCCCCTCCCCAGGTGGTGGCGCACATGATGCCGGATCTACCCAGCGTGGGCATGGAGAGGGACATGGAGTCATTCAGGGAGTTCATGCCTCATGACTCTCTATCCCACCCCCCCCGCACTCACTCACACACACACACACACACACACACACACACACACACACACACACACACACACACACACACTCGCAGGTGGTGGCGCACATGATGCCGGATCTACCCAACGTGGGCATGGAGAGGGACATGGAGTCATTCAGGGAGTTCATGCACAGCCCCGCCTTCCGCACGGACGGGCTCAAGCTCTACCCCACGCTCGTCATCCGCGGCACAGGGCTCTACGAGCTCTGGAAGACCGGCAGGTAAGGGGTTACCACATCAGCTCTGCCTTTTTCACCGATGGGCTAAATCTCTCTACCCCACCCGGGCCCTCATGCCCCCCTGGGCTCAAGTCTACTGTATTGTGTATGTCTGTCTGCTGCTTCCTCTCTCCCCTCGTGCAACTACCCACCAGAGAGCTTACTTGATCTAGTATTGCAACTACCCACCAGAGAGCTTACTTGATCTAGTATTGCAACTACCCACCAGAGAGCTTACTTGATCTAGTAGTTCGCTTCCTGGCCCTCGTGTCCCCCTGGACGCGCGTCTTCTACCCCATCATGCAACTTTTGAGTCGACTCAAAAGTCACCTCGTGTCCCCCTGGACGCGCGTCTTCTACCCCATCATGTGTGGTACCCTCTGCTCCCCCTCCCTCCCAATCCCCATCCCCGTCCTCTCCCTCTGCTGCCCTCCTTCACCCTGCCTTCCGCCCTCCCAGGTATCGCAACTACCCACCAGAGAAGCTAATCGGCCTAGTAGCTCGCATCCTCGCCCTGGTCCCACCCTGGACGCGCGTCTACCGCATCATGCGTGACATGCCATCCCGCTGCCTCCTCTCCCTCCTTCCCCCTCCTCCTTCTCCGCCCTCCCAGGTATCGCAACTACCCGACAGAGAAGCTAATTGGCCTAGTAGCGCGCATCCTGGCCCTGGTGCCCCCCCTGGATGTGTGTCAACCGTATCAAGCGCCACATCCCACTGCGCCACCTCCCTCCCCATTCCCGCTCCTCTCCCGCACCGCAGGCAACATCTGGGTCCGACACTGGAGTCGTATTTTGTTGACTCGAGAGGCCTGCTCCCGTTACTCCTCCCCCTCCCCAATCCCCAGGTACCGCAATCATCCACCCGGAAAAATAATCGACCTAGAAGCTCGCATCCTGGCCCTGGTGCCCCCCTGGACGCGTGTCTACCACATCACGCATGACATCCCGCTGCGTCCACCCCTTCCTCCTGCTTCCTCTCCCTTCCTCTCCTTTAGGCGATTCTTTCAGTCGTCTCGTGAGTCATTTTTCGTCGACTCAAGAAACTTGCCATCCTTACCACTCCTCCCATCCCTCCCCCAGGTATCGCAACTACCCACCAGAGAAGCTGATCGACCTAGTAGCTCGCATCCTGGCCCTGGTCCCACCCTGGACGCGCGTGTACCGCATAATGCGAGACATCCCGCTGCCACTGGTCACGTCGGGAATTGACAAGGGCAACCTGCGCGAGCTGGCGCTGGCACGCATGGCAGAGCTGGGGCTGTTTTGTTGACTCGACAATCTTGCCGTCCTTCCTCCTCCCTCCAACTCCCTCCCCCCCCCTCTCAGGTACCGCAATTACCCGCCAGAAAAATTGATCGATCTAGTCGCGCGCATCCTGGCCCTGGTCCCACCCTGGACGCGCGTGTACCGCATAATGCGAGACATCCCGCTGCCACTGGTCACGTCGGGAATTGACAAGGGCAACCTGCGCGAGCTGGCGCTGGCGCGCATGGCAGAGCTGGGTCTGCGGTGCCGGGATGTGCGCACGCGGGAGGCGGGCATTCAGGACATCCACCATGCCGTGCGGCCGCACGACGTGCAGCTCGTGCGGCGGGACTATGCGGCTAATGATGGCTGGGAGACGTTCCTCTCCTATGAAGATGTGACCCAGGTGAGAGAGGAAGTTGCTCTTAGGTGGTAACCATGTGGTAACCAGGTGAGAGTCAAGGGATAGCCTGTGTGACTCGCATGGCAGAGCTGGGGCTGCGGTGCCAGGATGTGCGCAGGCGGGAGGCGGGCATTCAGGACATCCACCATGCCGTGCGGCCGCACGACGTGCAGCTCGTGCGGCGGGACTATGCTGCGAATGATGGATGGGAGACATTCCTGTCTTATGAAGATGTGACGCAGGTGAGACAGCAAGTTTTATCCAAGGTGTTTACCATGTGGTAACCTGGTTAGAGAGAGTCGGTAACCTATTGTTCACGCATGGCAGAGCTGGAGCTGCGGTGCCGCGATGTGCGCACACGGGAGGCGGGCATTCAGGGAATTCACCCCAATGCCCTCCCTCCCCTTGCGCCTCAAAAAACTCCCCGTGTGCCCATCGCTCCTTGGTCCCGACAGGACATTCTGGTGGGGCTGCTGCGGTTAAGGAGGTGTGGGGCACACGTGACGTGTCCGGAGCTGAAGGGGCGGTGCTCCTTAGTGCGAGAGCTGCATGTGTATGGGACTGCCGTGCCTGTGCACACACGCGACACCGACAAGCTGCAACACCAGGTTAGGTCGGCCATCTCGGAACCACCTTTGAGCATCGAGAAATTCCTCCTTAATGCGAGAGCTACATGTGGTGGCAGGGCTGTGCCCGTGCACACCCGCGACACCGACAAGCTACAACACCAGGCAAGTGGGAGTTGATTCAGTAGTATGTGGCTAATGTGTGGCTAGAGCTGCATGTGTATGGGACTGCCGTGCCCGTGCACACCCGCGACACCGACAAGCTACAACACCATGCGAGTGGCATATGCGTGGCGTGAGCTTTACTACATGTGTATGGGACTGCTGTGCCTGAGCACACTCACGACACTGACAAGCAAGCTACAACACCAGGTAGATCAGCTATGTTGGCGTCTGCTTTGAGCATTCACAATGATGCTCCATAGTGCGAGAGCTGCATGTGTATGGCTCTGGTGTGCCCGTGCACACCCGCGACACCGACAAGCTACAACACCAGGCGAGTGGGTAACACGAGGTAGTGACAGCGCGATGCGAGTGGGTAGGACAAGGCACTTGGCAGCACCAGGGAGTGGGTAGGACGAGGCACTTGGCAGCACCAGGGAGTGGCTAGGTACAGTGCTGCAAAGTGATTACCAGTTCATCGTTATGGTTATCAGCACGGTTGCCATTTGACCTTTCAAGCAATTAATTTGTTTCTTCCTGTTTTAATATTTCCTCTTTCGGTGGTTTGGGTTGGCTATGATGGTGCACTGCGGTAATTTGTGGTTTCAGGGATATGGCACATTGCTGATGGAGGAAGCAGAGCGCATTGCCCGGTGGGAGCATGGCTCGAGGAAGCTGGGAGTGATATCAGGTATAGGGACGCGCCACTACTACAGGAAACTCGGTTATGAGCTCGAGGGGCCTTACATGGTCAAAACTTTTCCGCGTGCTGTGAGGGGGATTGGGCGTGGGAAGGGCAGCAAAAGGCGTGCAAAGCAAGTGGTACACTGATGGAAACACACCTTTGTTTTGCAGTCCTAGTGATGTGCACCCTTTTCTTGTGACAGGGAGGCATCGATACCTTGACAACTGTTCCAGCTTTACTTGAAAGAGAAGCAAAAAACATGAAGTTTTGTTCAAGTTGGAGAAGTTTGATGCTTTCACTTCACATACATACAGTATGATTTCCCAGCAAACATTGAGGTGAAGTGACTGATGTTGGGTTGGGATACATACGTACATGAGGGTTTGCGAGTTATCGTCTACCCATGCACTCACAGAGAAGTGAAACATTACAGTGCCAGTTGACATTTGCCCCTGGACGCTTGATCATTAGCATTATGATAATAAAAAAACGCGTAAGAAAACGTAGAGGGGCACAGAGCTTCACCATATGCCCGTAGAAATAGCGTCAGACTGCCACACAGGCCCACTGGCATCCCAATGGCCCACTGCTATAGTAAATGCCTCTGCATGGAAACATGGCATGGCACATGCAGGCACGTTGCAGACTGCTGTAAAGCACACAACAACAAATAATAAGTGAGTTTTAAAGGAAGCAAAGAAGAGTGCTGTAATGAAAAGCAAAGAGAGCACCGTAATCCACAGCTTCGCACTCGTTTGGCCTTATGCCAAACCTTCACGAATTCACAGCTCATTGTTGCTCCATGAACCTGACTTCCGTATCAAATCGATGCAATCTGGCACGCGGAGTCGTTGACAAGTGGTGGTGATGGTGAGGTGACAGTTGAGGAGAGGCTGCTGTGCCGGACAGTTACATTTCACTTGATGCCTTACAGTATTTTCAAGGGCAGTTTGTTTTCCGGGCGGTTACTCTGACACGATTTTTTTTTAATTGATATCGCATACATTACAAGAATGTACAGACACCGGCAGTCGTAACTGTACACGATGGTTCAGTCGTGTAGGGTTCTTGTACACCGCCTGAGAGGCTCCTTCCTCCAAGCCAAACCCCCATCAAGAGCCATGTGCCCAGTGGGCCTTGGGGGGAGGTGATTGTTGGGGGGGAAGTCCCAAGTCCCCCAAGGAGAGGTGACGTCACTCGAATTCTCATTACTTTCCGGGTTGCTTCTTTCCACATTAAGAATCGGATCTAATCTGGGGCCTACAGTTCTGAGCAGTCTCTCGAATTTTGTAAGTACAGAAACTCCTTTTCCCTGTGATATGATGTATAATCTCTAATTTGGTATAACCTGCGTTACATCCTCCTTCATACGAATTACATGATTGAAACTTGTTTTACTGGTGTTGAGTGCTGCCCATTGAGCCAGCCACAGCAAACTTCATGCATAATTGGCAGCAGGATCCAGTTGTACGGCTTGCATGCGTGGCACGTGTGGCTCGCCATTCGTGAGCCGTGTGAGCTTTCGCACGAACTGCACCCTGCTGGGTCGTCGTGTCGTGACTTCGAGGGGAAGGGTCCGTGCGGGCGATTGCCTGTTCGACCATGCGTGCGCAACTCCCAAATTCCCGTTTGGCAGCTTGCTTCCTTGAAAACCGTACTGCGCGCACACTACGCGCACATCTTCATACGTACACCAGTGATGCGCTGTCGTGCACCCAGCAGCTTCTTCTCCCCCCACACCCCCCCCCCCCGCACCCTTCAAGTTTGCACACCGTTCTCCCCCTCATCCTCCCCGCGCTGCTTTGGACGATGACCACCAGCGCAGAAAAACCAGACTGGGCCGGACCACACGGTTACACACCACAACCAGTGGTGTGGTGCCCAACCAGTGCACGCGGATTTGCCTTGCGCCGGATGGAAACGCTGCACCCGAGGTTGTTTCCCCAGCCTGTTGCTCCCACGTTATAAGCGCGTCGCGTGGTTATCAACCAATAGTAACGAACAGACCGAGGTCAAGCAGAAGAGACTGAAGTCAAATAAGGTAACAGATCTTGTTTATAAGCACCTGCGAGTCCTTTTTAGCTAGTTGCGAATTGACGAAACGTATGCGAAATGCTTGTTACAGCTTATACGCCCCTTTCACAAGGCAACCGGGAGGGGCTCAAACAGGCACAAGGTACCCCCCCACCACCACCCCAGTCGTCAGGCATCGTCTTCTCGCCATATCCACCTCCACCTGCACGAGCGCCTGCGATCAAAGTTGCATGCGCTTCCACCAAGTTGAGCATGTCGCCATTGTCTTTTGCGCTAGTTTTGAGCGGAGCCTCCGTGCGACAAGTCTGATGAATCCAACTCGAAAATCTGAGGGGAGTTCAGTTCAGTTGTGCGCGCAACAATCTGCGCACAGCCCCGACCTTCCCGAGGATGTCACGGACGGGTGACGGGATGCGAATGAACAGCACCTGGCGGATAAGGATTGGATCTCCTTCTCGCTTCCCGCGCAGGATTATGTCTGCCCCCAACCCCAACGCAACCCCAACGCAAGCCTCCGTTTGAGATGCCACACGTACGTAGCACTACACCGGCGGAGAATGCACATGCATTCACCACCACCAGCTAGCGGAGGGTGCCCCCTTCTGCTGCCCTGTCAGCATCACCTCCCTTCCACCCAACCAACTCGTTTTTCACCTCCACAACCAAACGCAAACAAACCCCAAATTGGGCACTACCCTCTCTCCATAAATTTTCTGACTGGTACTCTTCAGCCATTCTTTTCCTGTTGTGCTGTGCATCCTGTTGTTCGTTGTTCCTGGCCTTCTGTCACCGCCTGTGTCACACATTCTGGCTGAGCGTTTCTATCTCGGGTCGGTTTAGGGCTATTTGACATCTTATAGCTTTGTTAAGGTTTCGACCATGGATCTGGCTACGAGTTATGCGGACGACCTGGAGGAGGATTCGAAGCTGTTCCAGCGCGACAACAATCGGCTGATTGCATCGAATCGTGGCTCGACTGCTCAGCGCTTGCCGACGTGGAAGGAGCGGGAGAATAACAAACGAAGGGAGAGGAGACGACGCGCTATAGCAGCGAAGATCTTCACCGGCCTGCGCACCTACGGAAACTACGATCTTCCGAAACATTGCGACAACAACGAGGTGCTCAAGGCAGTGTGCAAAGAGGCCGGCTGGATCGTCGAGGAGGACGGCACGACTTACCGAAAGGTACACGCTAATCCGCGCCGCGCTGCGTCGCTCCAACGCACACTTCTTTTGCCTCTATTCCACGGACGAAAACCTATCGGTTTGCATATTATTTATTTTTCCATGTATCGTTCTACCGTTCTTCGTTGCCGACTTCTCATACATACCGGGTTTTCTTTTTTTTTTTCGTCTCCGCGTTTCAGGGTCAGCCTCGTCCACATCAACCGGAGCCGTCAGCAGGAATCGACTCCGCGTACCCCACAGACAGCGCCGTGCAACCCTACGCGTCTTCCAATGCCAACGCCCTCGATAGTACCGACTACGACCATCCAGCGTCTCTTGCGGGAAGCACCGACCATGGCCGCGGCCCCGTCAACGGCGTCGGTGTCACGATGCACGGGCGGGATGCCGGACTCACTGCCGTTGGCGCCGCCGCCGCCGCTCCTATGGTTGAAAATAGACCTGCGCCCGGAGGAGGAAGCTCGAGTGGAACTATCCAGACTGGCGGAACTGCGCTGGCTGGCGGAGCGGCAGCGCCGCCGGCAGCGGAGCTGCTGAAGCTCATGTCCGCGCTCGCCGCTTTCCCCGCGGCGGCGGCGCAGCTGGGCGCAGCGCTGAACTCTTCCGCCGCGTCCCTTGCGGCCGTTGCGTCGTCGCTCGGCCTCCCTCCGTCGTTCGCCTCGTCGTCGGACGTGCAGCAGGTGCTGATGTTGCTCGCTAAAGGAGGTGCTAATAACGGGGATCAGTCGCTGCCTGGTAGTCGACCGCCTGCTCCCGCTTCTTCCGCCGTGCCGTCGGATCTCTACTCTCTGCTCCAGTCGTCTCGTAGCGCTACCGCACCGTCCTCGGCAATCCCAAGACCGATGGCTCCTGCCCATGCAGCCAATCCCGTGGTTCCGCTGCATCCGCTGCAGCAACATCAGCAGCATCCACAATATCAGCCGCAGCAGCAGCAGCATCAGCAACAACTTCAGCAACAGCTGGCTTTCTCTCATCAACAACAACATCAGCAGCAGCAGCACCACCAACAGCAGCAGTTGCTGCTCGGTCTGCTTCAAGGAGCTTCCAACGTCGTCCAGTCTTCCGCATCTTCCTCTCTCCCTCCCGCCGTTGCTCCTCCCCCCGACCGTTCCATGCCTGCTCCTTCCCTAAGCGGCAACTTCAGCGGCGGCGCGCACAACAGCATCAGCCCTCAGTGCGGAAGCGCGACACGCGGCGGAACCCTCGGACCTCAACGAACGGTAGAGTTGAAATCCGCGGGAGGGAAGGACAGCAAGTGGGCAGCAGGTGTGCGGCGCATGGCGACGAGCTGGGATGTAGAGGCGCCTATGAAGCCCCCCCCTGTGATGCGCTCAGACGACCTTGAGCTCAGCCTTGGCCTTGGCTAAATGCCAATAGCAAGGGCCTTGGGTATCTTGGAAGTTTCTTGTAAGGCCACACTGGGAGTTTTCTTCCTGGACAGATCATCCCAGTATGGCCTTAAAGAGCTGCACCGCACCAGCTTGTGAAGGATGGTACCTAGTACTGGGTACAAACAACACATCGCAAGCTGAGAACGCGTGTTGCGGGAGTGGAGAACGCCAAATGGCCTGCTGCACTGCTGCATGCTCATGGATCCAGTCCAGAGCGCTTGCTGCTCCATATTTTTTTTTGCATAAGACAAGGACCTGGCATAATCTGTCCCTTGGCTGAAGCATGTCTGTTTCTGAGTGCTTGGGCTCCGTTGTGAGAAATTATACGTCTTGATATATTTGCTACTTTGTGCAATAACTAGATGTACTTGGAACCTTTGCTAGGTCTTCATTAAAAACGTATTATCGGTTTGTTATTGCTGAAGCTGCAATATTATAAAGCCTGAAATGCAGTGAGCTGACATGCAACGAAGTCATAGGTAACAGGCCGCTTGAAGCATTCGTTGGCAGTCACTCCCCTCTTTACGAACTTGCACTACCATCACCCCTCGCACCACTGACGTTTCCTGTTGGCACTGTGCTGAGTTTCCCGCCACTCTGGCAGGCCACTTATCGCTTCAACCTGACGCCTCTGCATTGTCGAACAACCACAGACTCTCACCGCACTCTACCCTACACCACTTCATCTCAACCTTAGTTTCTGTCCTTGCCTCCATTGCTGAACCCTTTTCAAGTCAGGGGGTGTCCAGCTCGTACATTTACTGTTCGTAAGCCCGCTCAGTTACCACATTTTTTGTTGTAACACTGTATTGAACGTGACCTGCGGACACAATCAGCTTTAGTTCACAAAACGGCACGCCCACTGCACGTACCTCGAGTCGTCTGACTCACGTTACTGGAATCAGCGGGGACACGAACAAGGGTACAGCACCGCGTCATGGCCACTACAGTAGTGCCCCATGTATCGCTTGCACAATTTCGCCAGTAGCTCGCTAAACTCGCCAACACCCTCCCCGCCTGCACAAAAATTCGTTAGCTATGATTGACGAGGGAAACCGTTACCTCGTTTCGAACCCGATCAGAGCACTGTTGATTCGTAAGGCGGAGAACGTGTCCGCGCTCCTGAAATTACAGGTAGATGGGACTCAACTCACAATGCATTCGTTTATAGGTACAGTGATTTTTTTTGAACCTCGAGACGTATTTTGGTACTAAAAACCCCGAAATGAACGAACTGGACACGCCCTCAAGCAGCTTTTCAAATTTCGAGCTAGCATTTTGGACTCGCAAACAAGAACACCATGCCATTTCGTGGAATTCAGGGCGTGTCCAGCGCGTACGTTTACAGCTCACCTCGCGCTACAGTTACCACTTTTTCGAAATTTCTACATCTTTTTTGGACACGAACACCTATGATACGTAAACCAGTAACAGCCCACACGTGCGCCGAATCGTTAACATGACGCGAAACGCACGTAACAAACCTCAGAATCAGACTTGCACGCGTCCACGTTGCTACAGTGACGATTCAACGAAGTCAAGGCCGAATTTCGTGAGAATCTGGGGTTTTCGCGAAACTGAATCTTGCGAATATTTCTGGGAATCGAATTGCCGCCCTTCTGGTTACAGAGTTGTGCTGTCGCCACTGTCGCGCAACATGATGTTCGGCTTGTGCTGAGGGGCGAATAGTGTCTTTCCGCACATTTTTGGACGCGAAACCAGAAGGGTACACCTGGCGGTACTGTTTCTGTGAGTGATTCAAAATACGTTTAAATTAAGTAAAAATCCCTAAGTGTACGCGCTGGACACGCCCTCAGAGGCATGGTCGTGCGCTTCAGACTCGCGTGCGCAAGCTCCTCCTGACACTTCGTAAAAGGGATAGATGTCCCTTCGCAGCTTGCGCAAGCCATCCCTGTTCGTCATTCAGTTGCCGACATTTAGAGACTCCTTTAGCGCTTATGCAAGCCATTCCTGTTTGTTAATAAGCTATAAACCATTTAGAGACTCCCTTTTTCTTGTCTGAAAACTGGATTTCCTCAAAATGGCGAGCTTCGGGACTCCCGAGGCTTTCGAGGCTATGCGAGCAGTTCTAGGCACCGAGCCGTCGGAAACGTCGCTCTTCAGAGCACTCTATCTCGCGCGAGGCGACGTCGCGAAGGCGATAAACTACCACTTAGACCTTGTTCAGGTTGAAAAGTTCACGCTCGAACAGTTAGCTTCATCGCGTCAACCGCTTCCCCTCGCCTCCCCTCCGCCGAAAACGGGCGGAGAGCTTTTAGCGCTTCCGCCACCCCAACCGCACCCCGTTACCGCCACCTCTCCGCCGCTCTCCCCGCGCCCCCCTTGTGTCGCCGCTGCTTCTCTTGCAGAAAAAAAGATCGGAGAAAATAATGCGCCGGAGGTTGCGGGAGCGGCAATGGAGGAAGCCGCGATGCCGGAAGCGGGCGTAGCCGTTGATCCTGCGGAGCGCGGAGGAGGCTCTGCGCTTTTCGAGGCAGAGGCGACTCGTCGAACGGGCGCTATCACTGGTGGAGACTGCACATCACATTCCCCGTTCGAAGAACCAAATGCTGGCGCTTCACCGCCCGCAGCGTCGAGCCTTTCCCCGGACAGCATCCGCGAGCCCGCGCATCCCGAGGCGGAGTGTCAGTTCGCGGGGAACGGTGCGATCGGAGGCGGAGTTGGCTCAGTGGGCGCACCTTGTGCCGCAGTTTCCCCCGACGGTGCGCCAAACGATGATGCAGTTCCCCCCACGTCGAGGATTTCCCCGGACACCGTGGTTGAGCCCGTGCCTAGCACCTTAGAGACTCTCCCCGTATGTTCCAGCGCAAACCGTGGCCCTGGCGGAGAGTGCGCAGTGCACTCGCCTTGCGCTGCAGTTTCCCCGCGCGAGGAGCCGCGCGCACACCAAACGCAGCCGTTTGCTGAATCCTCCCCGCTAGACTCAATGGATCCGCCTGATTCAGTGCCGCCCCTATCTCCATCGGTAGTGCCGCCCACATCTACAGTATCACCTGTAGCTACGGCTCAACCCCTTTCCAAAGTTTCCCCCGTATCTACAGTTCCTCCCACATCTACAATCCCCCCGTTATCTACAGATGCTCCTATATCTACAGTTCCTCCCGTTCCAACAAATGCTCCCATGCCTACAGTTGCTACTGTAGCTACTGCACTCCCTCCCGTAACTGAACTTCCACGTCAGCAACCAGTCCCCATCGACCCGTTACCGCATCCGAAGCTGAAGAACCAGTGGAGAGAAGCGAAGGCGGAAGCGTCGCGCTGGTGGCTCCTGGGAGAGCGCCAGCTGTCCTGCGTCTCGTTGACACGTGGCGCCAAGGTGGAAGCGTTCGACCCCGTAGATTTCCACTTCCCGAAAGGCGAGGCGAGCGGTGGTGGCGAGGGGAGCGGACACGTTGGCGGAAAGCAGGGCGGAAAGGATGGCGGAAGGGCGCGCGGAAGGCCGCCCAAGTGGAGCAAGACGTTATCCCGGGTGTCGTCCGCTGGGAGCTCAATCGTCCGCTTTGGGACAAAGAGAGGAGGCGAGGTACGAGCCCCCCCTCAGAGAGAACATTGCTTGTAGTGAAAAGACTTTTGCGGCGCCTTAAAAAGTATCTTCGGGTGTCGTCCGCTGGGAGCTCTATTGTCCGCTTTGGGACAAAGCGAGTAGGCGAGGTACGCGCCTTCAGTTAAGAGTGAACCCCGCGTGTAGTGAAAAGGGTTTTAAATTGCCAGTCTTTTCGGGGGGTCGACTGCTGAGAGCTCCGTTGTCCGCTTTGGAATGGCCAGAGGAGGGGAGGTATCCCTCACTCCACTTCCTAGTCCGTTTTCTTCCTCGCCCGCTCAATCTCTCCCTCTCACCGCCTCTCCTTCCCCCCTCTCCATCCCCGCTTCATGTCCGCCCCTCCTACCCACTTCGCTCCCCCCTTTCGCGCGGCTGCCAGGTGGGATCGCTCCCGCGAGAGTGGGCAGCGGCGCTGATACCACTGGAGGCGGAGGGGAAGGTCAGGCTGCGCGGATATGTGTGCTCCGCGCCGCCATGCCTCGCCATGTTCTCCGAGATCCTACTCACTGTCAGGTGCGTTATGCCAACTCAGGTGCGGTATGCAACTGCAATATAATTAGTTTTTGCTCCTTTCAGTGTGCTCCCTTCTAGGGGGTTCGTGCAGTGGTGCTGTTTCCAGAACTCTGTTCCTAGGGCGCTTCAGGAGCCCATTGCTCATTGCTCGCGGCTCATTGCTCGCTGCTCTCTCGCGGCTCCTTGGTTGCTCCATGCCAGGTGTGCGTGCAATGAGCCGTGTTTTGAGTCGACTCAAAACATTTTCCATGCCAGGTGTGCGTGCAGCAGTGGTGCCTTTGGAAATACATTCTTAACGGGCCTCAGAGGTTGGGTTGGAGCACTTGTGTGCGCTCGCTCCTCCTTTCTCCGTGCTCCATGGCAGGGTGTACGTGCAGCAGTGCTGCTTCCAGAAGCTCACTCGGGTGAAGGAGCGCGCAGCACACGCGCTGTCTGTCTGCACAGCCGCCCACATCACCAGGCTGCTGCGCTTCCTGGAGCTGCGCCCTACCCGCCCGGTGGGTCTTGGAAACTGATTCTGGTAGGTAGATTTATCGGAACTGTACAAAATAGTAATATTAATAACAAAATAAATTCAAATCCGTCACAAACCTGGAGCAGGTTGAGGGAAATAATCAGTCGACCATCCGGCCAGACAAATTCTTCCGCACCCCTACTTCTGCCATGGGAACTCCCCTTGTAATCACTCCTCGATCCCCTCGATCCCCGTTCTTCCCCCATGCTTCTCCCCCGCGCCCCTCCTGCTGTGGCGTGTGCTGTGCAGGCGGAGTTCACTCCAGCGGATTTCAACCATCACACAGAGAAGCTGGGCTTTACCTTTGCCTTTGCAGACCGGGTGAGCACCAGGGATTGGGATCTTTGAGGCGCCTTAAAAAAAACCCGTCTTTGCTGACCGGGTTTGTTTTGAGGCGTTTCAAAAGCCAGGTGAGCACCTGGGCTGGGGATTTGCTTCACTTCACCCATGTTCTCCCCACTCACCCAAGTGTTCCTCATTCTGTCTGTCCTCGTGCCCCTCCTACTCTCCTCGCGACCCGCCCACTTTCCTCACACCCGTCCCCCTCCCTCCCACGTGGGCTGCCCTCGCTCCAATACACACACACACACACACACACACACACACACACACACACACACACACACACACACACACACACACACACACACACACACACACACACACACACACACACACACACACACACACACACACACACACACACACACACACACACACACACACACACACACACACACACACACACACACACACACACACACACACACACACACACACACACACACACACACCACACACACACACACACACACACACACACACACACACACACACACACACACACACACACACACACACACACACAACACACACACACACACACACACACACACACACACACACACACACACACACACACACACACACACACACACACACACACACACACACACACACACACACACACACACACACACACACACACACACACACACACACACACACACACACACACACACACACACACACACACACACACACACACACACACACACACACACACACACACACACACACACACACACACACACACACACACACACACACACACACACACACACACACACACACACACACACACACACACACACACACACACACACACACACACACACACACACACACACACACACACACACACACACACACACACACACACACACACACACACACACCACACACACACACACACACACACACACACACACACACACACACACACACACACACACACACACACACACACACACACACACACACACACACACACACACACACACACACACACACACACACACACACACACACACACACACACACACACACACACACACACACACACACACACACACACACACACACACACACACACACACACACACACACACACACACACACACACACACACACACACACACACACACACACACACACACACACACACACACACACACACACACACACACACACACACACACACACACACACACACACACACACACACACACACACACACACACACACACACACACACACACACACACACACACACACACACACACACACACACACACACACACACACACACACACACACACACACACACACACACACACACACACACACACACACACACACACACACACACACACACACACACACACACACACACACACACACACACACACACACACACACACACACACACACACACACACACACACACACACACACACACACACACACACACACACACACACACACACACACACACACACACACACACACACACACACACACACACACACACACACACACACACACACACACACACACACACACACACACACACACACACACACACACACACACACACACACACACACACACACACACACACACACACACACACACACACACACACACACACACACACACACACACACACACACACACACACACACACACACACACACACACACACACACACACACACACACACACACACACACACACACACACACACACACACACACACACACACACACACACACACACACACACACACACACACACACACACACACACACACACACACACACACACACACACACACACACACACACACACACACACACACACACACACACACACACACACACACACACACACACACACACACACACACACACACACACACACACACACACACACACACACACACACACACACACACACACACACACACACACACACACACACACACACACACACACACACACACACACACACACACACACACACACACACACACACACACACACACACACACACACACACACACACACACACACACAACACACACACACACACACACACACACACACACACACACACACACACACACACACACACACACACACACACACACACACACACACACACACACACACACACACATATATATATATATAAATGTTTCCATGAGCTCTCCCCTCAATGGCCCCCTTTTTCCTGTGCGCTTTCCTGAATGCCCCCCCTTCTCCCCCACGCCCGCCGCCCTCATTCCATCTGCCAGCAGGCAGCGACTAAGAGAGTGCGGGCGACTGCAGGAGGGGGTGAGAGTAACGAGGGGGGGGAGGAGGAGGCAAAGTCGATGACAGATGAGGAGGTGAACCGCTACGTGGGTGTCACCACCAACAATCAAGCGCTGCCGGTGGGTTGGGTTGGGTTGGGTTGGGTTGGGTTGGGACTTGCTTCACTTTTCTGTCTTCTGATGTTTGAGTCAACGGGCGATAGGGCGATGACAGATGAGGACTTGAACCGCTACGTGGGTGTCACCACCAAAAACCAGGCGCTGCCAGTGAGTTGGGTTGGAGCCGCCTGTCCCAGGCCTTGATTTCCTCACGCCCACTCCCTCCATGTCGCCCTCCGCACACCTCTTGCCAGGAGATGGAGCCTCCCCCGGGTGTGACCTCGCAGCTGCGGTGCTACCAGAAGCAGGCGCTGCACTGGATGCTGTCCATGGAGGCTTTGGGACGGGGTAGTCTGTGCCAGGACTTGATTTCCTCACACCCATTCCCTCCCTGTCACCCGTCACACGCCTCTTGCCAGGAGATGGAGCCTCCCCCGGGTGTGACCTCGCAGCTGCGGTGCTACCAGAAGCAGGCGCTGCACTGGATGCTGTCCATGGAGGCCTTGGGACGGGGTAGTCTGTGCCAGGACTTGATTTCCTTACACCCATTCCCTCCCTGTCACCCGTCACACGCCTCTTGCCAGGAGATGGAGCCTCCCCCGGGTGTGACCTCGCAGCTGCGGTGCTACCAGAAGCAGGCGCTGCACTGGATGCTGTCCATGGAGGCTTTGGGACGGGGTAGTCTGTGCCAGGACTTGATTTCCTCACACCCATTCCCTCCCTGTCACCCGTCACACGCCTCTTGCCAGGAGATGGAGCCTCCCCCGGGTGTGACCTCGCAGCTGCGGTGCTGCCAGAAGCAGGCGCTGCACTGGATGCTGTCCATGGAGGCTTTGGGACGGGGTAGTCTGTGCCAGGACTTGATTTCCTCACACCCATTCCCTCCCTGTCACCCGTCACACGCCTCTTGCCAGGAGATGGAGCCTCCCCCGGGTGTGACCTCGCAGCTGCGGTGCTACCAGAAGCAGGCGCTGCACTGGATGCTGTCCATGGAGGCTTTGGGACGGGGTAGTCTGTGCCAGGACTTGATTTCCTCACACCCATTCCCTCCCTGTCAACCGTCACACGCCTCTTGCCAGGAGATGGAGCCTCCCCCGGGTGTGACCTCGCAGCTGCGGTGCTACCAGAAGCAGGCGCTGCACTGGATGCTGTCCATGGAGGCCCTTGGGCAGGCCGTGCCGGGGATTGGCGAGCTTGTGCCGGGGAATGGCCAGGCCGTGCCAGGGAATGCTGCAACTGCTGAAGTCTCCACTTCTCTATGTCCAGGAGCTGCTGATGCCAGTGGTACTGCTGCTGCAGCTGCTGCTGCTGCTGCTGCCGATGGTGGTGGCGGTGCTGGTGGTGGCAAGAGGACGAGTGCAGTGAACGAGTGTGATGCGCTGCACCCGTGTTGGGAGGAGTACACGCTTCAGCACAAGTGCGTGAGTGAGAGAATCAAAGTCCCAACGCCGTGGGCCCACAGCATCTTTGCCCACTGCACACTCCGCAGTCCCCATCAAATCCCGTTTTGTGAGAAATCACAAAAAACAGGTTTCCCATCACATTCCATGTGGCCCTCATTCAACTTTTGAGAATTCTCTGAAGTGACATTCCCCATCACATTCCATTCTCCATGTTCCAGGCTGCACTGCGCGTGTTTCAGATGCACCACTCTGGACTGTTCTTCCGGTTTTCTCTTTGCATTCATCGGTGCGCCCCCTCCCTTAACCCCTCACCCCGGTCCCCTCTGAATCCCTTTATCCTTCTCCTCCCTCTTCCATCCCCCTCACCATCTCCCCACCTCAATTCTCTTCGCACTCACATCCACCTCGTTTCTTTAACCCTGCTTCCTCCGCCCTCTCAGTGGCGGCACGCCGTTCTACCACAACGTTTTCTCAGGGGAAGTTACCCTGGAGTTTCCAAGCGCAATGGAGAGAAGCAGGGGAGGGGTGAGTGGGAAGAGGCGGAGGATATTGAGGGAGTTAGGGGTGTTGGGTGGTGGAGGGGAAACGGGATTGGAACATTGAACCCATGGATTTAGACAAGTCAACTATCATTGTCAAGAACAGCGAGTTTTGAGGCGAAATTTGAGGCGCCTAAAAAATCTGAACATTGAACCCATGGATCTGGACAAGTCAAATGTTACTGTCAATAACAGAGAGTTTCAATGGGATTAGCAACATTGCTTCTAATTCTCCATGTGTATTGAGTTTTGAGACGTATCAGGACTTCTTCGCACCTACCCCTTCCGCTACCCTCCACCCCCGTTTCCCCCTCTTTCCCTCGATTTTCCTCACTTCATTCAGAGTCTAGCAGGCACGATGGGCTTATGCTATACAGGTATGGACCGTTACACTGGTTTAAACTCGTCTTTCCCTGTCCCCCCTCTTTTCCCCTTCCTGCCTCACCTCTCGCGCCTTCCCTTGGTTCAGATTCTAGCAGACGCCATGGGTCTGGGCAAGACGGTTATGACCATTGCTCTCATTGCTGCGAGCAAGGCGAACAGGGAGAGGGGGAAGGCGATGGCGACGGGAACAAGGGGGAAACTGGGAGGAGTGGTGGGGAAGATGGACGGAGGAGGGTCGGGGAAACAAGTGAGGGATGAGAGGCGAGGTGGTAATATAAACGGGGAATGCGCTGTTTCCAATGGTGCTGACTGTAAGCAGGACGAGGAGGCAGCTGGGGGTGTGAAGCGGAAGAGAGGGGAGTGCAGCGCGGTGGCGGGAGAAGGGAGAGGTGTTCGTGTTGGTTCAAGGAGGAAGAAGCGAGTGAAAAGGGAGGCGGGCGAGGGTGTGATGGGAGAGGGGGAGGGGGGAACAGGAGAAGGAGGTGACGTATGGTTTTCAGACCAGGATGAGGATGAGGAAGAGGATGAGGATGAGGATAAGGATAAGGATAAGGATGGAGACTATTTGCCTGGTGAGGAGGGAGGCGATATTGGTGCCGATGCCGGCGGATCTGACAGCGATGCAGAGGTGCAGGAGGTTGGAGGTGACACGTGGAGGGCGGAAGAGACACCAGAGGAGATGCAAGCGGAGGGTGGTAGGGAGGTAGAGGAGTGGAATGGCAGGGGCGGCAACAGCAGCAGGGACAGGAGGGTGCAAGGAGGGACGCTCATAGTGTGCCCCATGTCGCTCCTCAGCCAGTGGAAGGTGCACGCTCTGCCCGCTTGCTCCTATGCTTTCTCACCCACCTTTTCTCAAACGTCTCTCCTGTGTCTTCTTCCGAATCTATACTTCCTGGGGAAGGGGAAGGTGTTCTCTCCAGGAAGCCCTTTGCGAGCAAGTGGAAGGTGCGCTTTCTGCCCTGTGGCATCTCGTCTCCTGCGGCATCTCCCCCGTCGCATTTCACCCCTCTCTTAATCTTCCCCTGCTGGCATCCATAATCCAGGGAGAGAGCAGAGCGGGTACTCCGCTCTGCTCTCCCCCTCCCTCCTCTCCCTCTTTCCCTCCCCTCAACCTCAGGCCGAGTATGAGGCGCACACAGCGCCGGGTGTGCTGTCAGTGATGGCGTTCCATGGCTTGCAGCGGCAGAAATGTCAAGCTTGGTCTCTGTCATTGTTTCCCCTTCTTCTCTCCTCCACAGGCCGAGTGTGAGGCGCACACAGCGCCAGGTGTGCTGTCAGTGATGGTCTACTATGGCTCGCAGCGGCGCGATTTTGAAGCGCGCTATCTGGCGAAGCATGATGTAGTCATCACCACGTATGGCACACTGCAAGCCGAGTACAAGGTGAGACGGCCTTTCATGAGATAACTCGTTAGGCGCTTTTTTCTTCTTATTTTTCTAGTTTGCCTTGTGAATTGTCGTCCAGATTGTTTACTCCCCTCCAAATTGACACAATCAAGCACCTCAGAATTGATTTTCCCTCCCTGCCGCCCCCTCCACCAAACACCCCACATCCATCCACAGGAGCTCAACAAGGACAACAGGAGCGCAACACAAGACAGTGTGTTGGCGCAGCAGGCCTCTCTGCCCGCGGATTTCCTCACCTCCACCTGTTGAGCGGCCCTCCGCGGCCCTCCGCCGGTCCTGTTTCTGAAGTGCCTTACAAATAGTCTCCATTTCCTTCCAACACCTCCCACCCCGTCTTCTTCCATCCACAGAAGTTCAACAAGAAGGCAGCAGAGGACAGCGTGGCAGCACAGCAGGTCCCCCTCCCCGCAGAGTTCCTGACCTCCGCCTGCACGCCCCCGCCCTCGCGCTTCAACCCGCCCCCACCACCGCCGTCCCCGGTGCGCCAGGGGCCGCTGCACAGTGTGCAGTGGTGCAGAGCGGTGCTGGACGAGGCTCATTTTATTAAGAACCGTGTGTCTGGTGCTGCTGCTGCCACCTTCGCCCTCCAAGCCGATGCCCGCTGGTGCCTCACTGGCACGCCCATCCAGGTGAGCGGAGAGGGGAGGGGGTAAGGGGGAAGGGGCAGTGGAACAAATCGTGCGATCCACACGTTGTGGTGGTTGTTAACTCAAGACGACAGTGCTGCTGCCACCTTTGCCCTGCAAGCCGATGCCCGCTGGTGCCTCACAGGCACGCCCATCCAGGTGAGAGGGGAGAGAGAGGAGGGGGGTAGTGGGGTGGTACGGACAGGAAAGAGGGACGCGAAACTAAGGGTGGGGTGTGATCCACAGTGTTGGGGCTGCTGAGTCAAGGCAACAGTGCTGCTGCCACCTTCGCCCTGCAAGCTGATGCACGGTGGTGCCTCACTGGCACGCCCATCCAGGTGAGGGGAGAGAGGAGGGGGAAAATGGGGTGGCATGGGGGTAAGCGGGGCGTGGAACAGAGGGTGTGATACACAAAGTGCTGTGTGTGGCTGTTGAATCAATTCCGTAGTTTCCTCTCTGCCTTAGCAAGGTGGTGTCAGAGTGTTGGGGAGGGAGGGAGGGATGAGGGGGAGACGGCAAGAGGAGGGAGGTGATAGAGAGGATGTTGAGCTGACTCGAATCACTTGATGGCTTACCAGTTTGGTTTTCTCAACAGCCATCCTGTCTGGGATGCTGTGTCCGATCCTGGCACGATGTGGCACATGGCATGACGTGGCATGATGTGGCATGACGTGGCAGAACCAACTGGAGGACGTGTACAGTCTGCTGCGCTTCCTGAGGGTGCAGCCGTGGGACAACTGGGGGTGGTGGCAGCGCCTGGTGCAGCAGCCGTACGAGCGCGGGGACATGAGAAGCATCAAGCTGCTGCAGGGGCTGCTGAAGCCGCTCATGCTGCGACGAACCAAGGACTCCAAAGACAGGTAATCTTGGGCTGGGCTGGGCTGTACCTCCAAAGGTAGGCATGTGTTTTGAGATCCGAACGTTGCTGCACTTTCCTCACTCTCTTGGTCCTCCACATGAAAGGATGAACCTTGTTCCTTAACATTGCTCCCCTCCAATATGCCGCTTTCTGCAGTTTGAAATATTTGTTTTACTATCATTGTATATAGCTTCTGGCAATAATGTAGTTTTAGGAACTTATTCCACCCCCTGTGAATACCAACGCACCGAAACTCTCCGCTTTTTTAATTCTCATTCGTCTTAATCACCCATTCTATCTGTCTCTGTCTCTGGGCCTGGTCTGGCTTCAGGAACGGGCAACCCATCCTTGTGCTGCCGCCCATATCTTTCCATGTGATCTCGTGTGAGTTCTCCGCGGAGGAAAGGGACTTCTACGACGCATTGCATAATAAGTCCAAGGTATGCCGCCCAGCACAACAGATTCAAGGTATGCCGCCTGGCACAACAAGTCACGGCTCAAAGTACCACCACCTATGCTGCACGGCGTGATGCTCAGGTTTGGTGAGCAAGTTTGCTTCACTCCTCTTCCTTATCCGTGCCCCATCATCCGTCTCTCTCCTTCCTCCCATACCTCTCCACCACGTCAAGTTCGACAGCTTTGAGGCTCAGGGCCGATCGTTGCACATCTGCCTTCCATTCGTCCTTCCTTCCTTCCTTCCTTCTCTCCCTCCCTCCCTCCCTCCCTCCCTCCCTCTGCGCTCCACCCCATTCCTTTCCTCCCCACCGCCCCCCACAAGGTCAAATTTGACAGCTTTGTGGCGCAAGGACGAGTGCTGCACAACTACTCTTCCTCCCACTCTCTCACACGTTCTCTACTGTCTCTGCACACCACTTCCCTCTCCCTCTCCCCATTGCCTCCCCACCCCACCAGGTCAAGTTCGACAGCTTCGTGGCGCAGGGCCGAGTGCTGCACAACTATGCCTCCATTCTTGAGATGCTGCTGCGCCTGCGCCAGGTGGGTGCTGGGTGGTGCTGCTGGGTGCAGAGGAGGGTGCTGTGTGGTGGGTATGGGACGAGTGCTGCACAACTATGCCTCCATTCTCGAGATGCTGCTGCGCCTGCTCCAGGTGGGGGGCGGCTGCTGGTGCTGGGTTCTGGGTGCTGTGTGGTGGTGCTTGGTGCCGGGTGGTGGTGGTGGGTGTTGGGTGTTGCAGGTTGTGGTGGGTGATGGGTATGGATAGGGTGCTGCACAACCACGCCCCCATCCTTGAGATGCTGCTGTGCCTGCGCCAGCTGGGGTGACAGGTGGTGTCGGTGAGTGCTGGGCGGTGCTGGTGCTGTGCGGTGGTGGTGGGTTCTGGGTGGTGGGTGTTCGGTTCTGGGTGATAAGTATGGGTGGTGGGCGGCCAGACGGCATGCATCACATGGGCTCCTTCGCGCTGCTGGGTTTTGGACCTCTTGAGACGCCTCAACACGAAACGCTCCTTTCTTCCCCTCCTTTTTTTTTGAAAATTCTCCAAAAACAGGTTTCGACCTCTTGAGACGCCTCAACAAGAAAATGGTCCTTCTTTCTTCCCCTCCTTACTTCCCTTCCCTCAATCCCACTTACGCACCAACCAGGTGTGCGACCACCCGTTTCTCGTTTTGAGCCGCTCTGACACAATGGACGACGAGGACCTCAGCAAGCTGGGACGAAAGTTCCTTGCAGCTTCCTCACAAGGAACAGCAGGGTCCGCCGCTGCTGCTGCTGCTGCTTCTGCTGCTGGTGCTGGTGGCACCACCACGACTGCCGATGCTGCTGCCACCGGTGCAGGAGCATGGGGAGAAGCAGGCAGCAGCTGTCCTATTGGGTGGGACCACGGGGACGAAACCCACGAGTCCCACAAGGGCCCGTCCCGGGAGTATGTGCAGTCAGTAATGGAACAACTGAAGAGGAGGAGAGAGGGGTTAATGCAGGGAGGGGACGAGTGTCCGGTGTGTTTGGAGGCGGCAGAGGATGCGGTGTTCATGCCCTGTGCGCACATTGCGTGCCGCGAGTGCCTGCTCACCGCCTGGAGGCCTTCAGTCAATGGCCCTTGTCCTGTCTGCCGGTACGTGTAGCTTGTTTGTTTTTTTCTATGTATCAGCTAGTGAACTGAACTCGTCATATCTGCATGATAACCTTTCGAAAAGATAAAGGTACATTCCATGTCGCTTATTGCTCAACCCTTTTAGAACACACAATCCTTCTTCTGTCGCCGCTACAAGCATTGTGAGTCGATTCAGAGATCAATCCCCCCTGCGTTTTCCCAACAATCTTCCCTCCTGCCAACCCCTTCCAATCCAGTCTGCCAATCCTGCGCTCCCAGCTCATCACAGTGCCACGTGCCAGCCGCTTCTCATTGGACGTCGAGGCCAGCTGGCAGGACTCTGTGAAGGTCCGCCAGCTGCTACAGTGCCTGGGGGAGATCCGGGCGGCATCGGCTTGGAAGGGAGCGAATGGGGGGGGAGGAGGAGAGAAGAGCGTGGTTTTCAGCCAGTGGACGGCATTTCTTGACTTGTTGGAGATCGCATTTAAGAGGTGTGAAGGGCGGTTTGTTTTCTACGCACTTGAAAAATATGTCTCTTGACCTGCTGGAGGTCGCACTCAAAAGGTTGTGAATAGGGGGCTATTTCCAAGGCACTTCAGAAAAAAGTAGTTTCTTGACTTGTTGGAAATTGTACCTCCAAAGGTGTTAAGAGAGAGGGCAAGCCCAGGCGAGTGCGAAGGACTTGTCCTCTAAAGTACGAGGCACTTTCCCGATTCGCCTCATTGCTCTCTCCCACTCCATCCCTTTGTCTGTGCAGAGCAAAGGTGCCATACGTGAGATGCAAGTGAATGGCAGAATGAGATGTTCTTCACTGATTTGCTTTCTCCTCCTGTCTCTCCTTCCCCATCACTTGATGTGGTCTGTGGATGCATGCAGGGCCAAGGTGCTGTATGTGCGGCTGGACGGCAGCATGTCGCAGCAGCAGCGGGAGAGGGCGATAAACGAGTTCCGGGAGAATCCCAAGGTGGAGGTGCTGCTGGTGTCACTTAAGGCGGGCGGCGTGGGGCTCAACCTCACCGCAGCCTCCCATGCCTTTGTCATGGTACGTTCAATAAAAAAACTCCTAACACGCGCTCCTCATGGCATTCAAGGAGAATCCCAAGGTGGAGGTGCAGCTGGTGTCACTCAAAGCAGGCGGCGTGGGGCTCAACCTCACTGCTGCCTCACACGCCTTTGTCATGGTATGTTTCGAACATCAAACATGCAGTAACAGTAACAGTTTTAGTAAACCTTGCTTACGATACGAACGGGTGTTCCTCATAGTGGTAGCGCCGTCTCACCCTTGTGTTCTCTGCTCCATCCCACCCAACCCCTCAGGACCCCTGGTGGAACCCGTCAGTGGAGGAGCAGGCAGTGATGAGAGTGCACCGCATAGGGCAGACTCGCCCTGTTACAGTAACGCGCTTCATAGTGCGCGACTCAGTAGAGGAGCGCATGCAGAAGGTGCAGCTGCGCAAGGATCAGATGGTGCAGGGAGCACTCATGGATGATGGCGCACGCAGTGCAAGGATCAACGAGCTCAAAATGCTCTTTAGATAGGTAGTAGTACCAGGGTAGATGTTTACAGGTACAGGGTAGATATAAAGTTTGACATGGTAGTCAATGCTAATGTCAAGGTAATGTAGCGGTAATGAAAATGTAGCGTCTGAAGTTGTATCAAGGATGTCGTGAACGCATGGCAAAAAGTTGTTTCCCTGGCCGGTGAGATCACCGGGATCAAGAATGCACTACAAACAATACATTCCATATATGGAGCAGTGGGGCAGTGGCAGATGTTATTACGTGATAGAGCCAGTGCTGGTGATTAGTGGGGACTCTTTATTGCTAATCCACCCTACGCAACATATCAGGGAGGGAAAGGTGCCTTGTTTGACAGCCCAACAGGCAGCACATGCCTTATTGACTGTTCCTTCAAATTCCCTATTCTGTAGTTGATTGATACATTTTGAATAATACATCTGTTTGCGTGGAAGGGAGCAGCCTTAGCATGAGCATAAGGAATGTACAATATTGAGGGTCTTTTAGCTAGTGTCACATTTCCATATCATCATCATCTACATCATCTAGCTGGAAGCACGTGCCTGCAGCGCCTATTCCCTGTGATGACTGGTGATTTTGCGACGGTGGTAACCCGTTTCGCGACTGATGAAACATGCCTCGTGACTGGCCAAAGCTGGAAAACGAGGAGCACGATTCACCTTCTCCGACAACCCCCCAACCCCGCGCTGCTCCCCACATTCCGGTTCCGCTGGTTTCCCCCGACGAAGACTCACAGGAACCCGCTCCCCCACATTCCGCGCGCTGTTGCGGATAAGAGGCCATGCCCCCCGTAGCGCACGCTGACGCGCATCCCGCTGCTACGGACGTGCCCGCAGTCGCCGTATGTGACCGTTGCGATTGCCAGCCATTCGAGCCACTCGCGCCACTGCTAGAGCCACTCCAACTTGCGCACATGCTCTCGGGCGCGTTTCTCGCCACCTTGTCCGCCGCGTCCAGCGCCGGATGCTGCGGCGGCGCCGACGCGATCTGCATGTTCCAAGCGCCCCACCGGATGTGCGGAACGCGCAGCCACGGGCTCGACCAGGACAGACGCGGGACGGTCACAGTGAGCGACCCCACCGTGTGCGCTGCCGTCGCGCGCTCTGGACTCGCGTCAAACGGTAACTTAAACCGGCAACCGAACTTCCACGGGTTAGATATCGACGAATGAATGCTGCTACTGCTGCAGCTGTTGCAGAAAGAGCTCGTGCCTGGCGGTGCTGGGAGCAACGAGCGCTCGCAATGACGCGAGCAAAAAATGGTCAGAAGCGCACCATCACGGCACAAATCACGATCGCCATCCACCTCAGCGGTAGACGTTCCCCGCATTCCGCAGGCTCTTCCTCCGCCATTCCGAGCCGCAAACTGGCCAGGACCCCCTCCCTGATCTGTACAGCCATTTGGGCAAGGCGAACTCGACTGTCCAGATTCACTGGACTCAACTCGTTCCACGACCACCTCCACCTCCTCCTGGCGCAACCCGTCCCTTTGGACTTCAAACGAGTACGTTTCGCCTGTCTCAGATATAAGCCACGTGGGTTTCCGGATGTCACCCTGGTACTCCTTTATAATCTCGAACTCGATAGTGGTGAAAGAGGGAGCGAAATCCCCGCTGTGCCGAAATGGCTTTCCTCGACATGAGTTTGTGTCGTACGGCTCTGGCGCTGTGGGTCTGAAGATTCCCCGTGACCTACGGGACGCCATAACAGCTACACTCCGCCAGAGAAAAACGACGGCTAAACCAAGAGAAAGCCTCTGCTTTTGCCTCGACAGGCGCGATAACTAACAAGTTGACTCGAGGTGGTGCTGCAAGATCAACCTAGGCGACGCGGCCTGTAGTCTTCAGCTAGAGAGCGTCTGCTGCAAAAAGGGAGCGGAGGGGAGGGCCAAGTCATCTCTAGGACAGGCAGTCTAGATTCTTACTGCAAGGTATGCCTAGTTGGCCAGATAGGGTATAGTCGATAACGAAGGGTACCTTCTAGAACTGGGCTGCCTGCTAGGTGAAGGTGAAGATGAGGATGGGAGTGAGGGTGAGGCAAGGGCAGCTTAGTGAAGGTGAGTGATGGGTGGTGAGGTGATTCACGAGTCACGCCAACTGGTGCCAGGGGAAAAGGTTGGATTCTTTGTTCAGCTGCTAGGTTCCAACTCAGCTCCTCCATGAGGGCTTCCAGCTCCTTCGAAGTTATCCCATAGGTTGCGAAACTAGCGAGACCTCGGCGAAGCTCGTGTGTGTGCTGGAACTGGGTTGCGGAAGTACGGTGATTGCCTACTTTCGCCAACATGTTTCGGGGACAAGTTGGTTGGTGATCAGCTGCATTCTTCCCGCCTCGTGTCGCACACATCCCTGTCAAATTTGACAAAAACTCGACTCGTCCCCCTCGAGCGCTATTGGAGGAGGTCTGTTCGTAAAGGCGAGGTTCGTGCGTTTCCAGCCACTCAAGTGAGCTTCTAGCAGCTTCCGCTATCCATTGGGATTGACGCATTTGGCAAGTCCCATTCCACCGTATCATACGCGCCACAAGCTCTTCGTAGTATCCCGCTGAACAACGCCAATAAAACCTAATACAATCGAATTCTTCAAAATACATCCACAGCACTCCAGTTCGAAAACGCTATCCGAAATTGTTCCAACAAAGAATGACCTGTTTGGGTACTGTTTTAGTGACACGTCACGGGACGTGACGTGGCAATATTAGGCAATTCCGTCTTTGCTATCACGTCCCTCCCCACACCATACCACAACCGCCAGACCCATCCATCTTCCCACCTTTTTCTGTTGCTCTCTCAGCATTCTTACTACTGTATCTCATCCCACCTTTCTTAATATTTCTCAATCGATCTTGATCTCTCTCCCTTCCCTCACCATATATTCTCCGCAAATAATTTCTCTCGCCTTCTCCAATCCAAGCCCCTCCTCACAACACCACACCACCGCACCCCTTCCAACTTCTCCAACCTCACCTCTTCGCCTCCCCCCTGCGCATTCCTCTCTCACCCCTATTGTCGAAATAGGGTTTTCGCATTGCCGGACATGGCGCTCGCCTGTCCGTCCTCCGTGTCCTTCAAGTCCTTCCAAGGGCTCAAGGCCAGTCCTGCTGTCTCGTCCCAAGCGCGCATTAGTCGCTCTAATGTAGCTTTCCCGAATGCCGCGTCCAAGCGTCTGGTAGCCGTCGCGGCCGTTGCAGAGGCACCAGCAGCTGCCGGCCCGGCAGTTCTGCCGGTCCTGACCATGGACGGTGCGAACTCCGGCAAGACGGCGGAGCTGAACCTGCGGACGGCACGGCCAGAGACGGCAAAAGCCGTTGTCCACCGCGCCGTGGTCACCTACATGCAGAACAAGCGCGCGGGTACCGCGAGCACGAAGACCCGCGCGGAGGTGCGGGGAGGCGGGCGGAAGCCGATGAAGCAGAAGGGAACCGGCAGCGCTCGCCGGGGATCGCAGCGGACGCCGCTGCGCCCCGGTGGTGGTGTGGTGTTCGGGCCTAAACCCAAGGACTGGACTATTAAGATCAACAAGAAGGAGAAGCTGCTCGCCGTGGGGACCGCTCTGCAGAACGCGGCGACCGCGAATGGCGGCGCGAGCTTCATCGTGATCGAGGACGTCCACGACAAGGTCGCGGCGCCTAAGACTAAGGACTTCGTCGCGGCGCTCGCGCGGTGGGGCGTGGATTACAAGAAGGACCACGCGCTGCTGCTTACCGGCGAAGCGTCGGAGAACCTGCTGCTTTCGACGCGGAACATTGAGAATCTGAAGGTGGTGACGCCGAACGCGCTGAACATCTACGACGTGCTGCGCGCCGATAAGCTGCTGGTGACGGAGTCCGGGCTTGAGTACCTTAACCAACGGTTCGGCGATGACATTCTGTTTGTAGATGGCGAGGAGGATGAGGAGGAGGGAGAGGAGGCGTCGGATGCTTAGATTCGTTGAGGGGATGAAGGGACGGATGCCAAGAATGGGAATAGCAGGGCTTGCAGGGTTACCATGCTGGAAAGTGAAGCAGACAGGTGGACTAGAGTTGCGGTGGGTGAAAGGTAGGGGAAATGTTCACTTGCATTGGGTTTGTGTTATCTAGCCTACGGTAAGCTTCTGCTGCTGCTGCTGTCACATTTTACGTTTTTCTGAGGCATCTCCGCCTACGGCTCTTAGCTTCATGTGTACAAGCATTCTTACATTACCATACTAAGAAAACACTACCAGTGTCACGCTTAACGTGTTCCCAGATGTCTGCATTCCCACCTTTGACGAGCCTACGACTCTTTTCGCCGTCCATCATCCCCATCCCTCCCTTACCCTTCCCTTCATCCTCGCTCTATCATCTTCCGTTCTACCCTCGCTCCTCCCCTCTGAAAATACACACACACTCTCGTCACCCTCCCCTTCCCCCCTCCTCCCTTTCATCACCCGTTCCCCTCCGTCTAGTGCCTTCCCCTCCACTCCTCACACCTCCTGCCTCCGCTTCCCTCACGCCTCCTGCCTCCTCACGTCTCTTCCCCCTCTTTTCACATGCGTGCCATTTCTTCCCTCTCCCTCCTCCCCTGCTTCCATGCCCCCTCTCCTCGCTTCTTGCCAACTCTTTCCCTCCTGCCGACTCCACCTCGCTTGCCCCATTTTGGACCTTTGCCCTCTGGCAAGTTCCTTCCCTCCCCTCCCAATTCCCTGCCGTGCTTTTTTCCTTCCACTCATTGCCAAATCCATTCTACCTTCTGCCGCCTGACATGCGCGTTCATCTTGTTGGCAATCATAATTAGTGCCTCACACCTATGAACTATATCTGACTAATGTTTTTACAGCATGGAACTCTAACAGGCAGGGAAATGAGGCTACCTTGAAGCAGGCTTTTGTGAAGCATGTAGGTGATGATGAACTACACTATTTTGCTGTAGTAGAATTCAAACGTAACAGTACGCTTCCGCGCCTAGGCATGGACCTTGGGTTCCTCCTCATCACGCCTTCAATAGCGGCTCTGATTGGCTGCGAGCTTGCGCCTCGACCTTCGCAAACATATTGATTTCCTGGACCACCCTTCTGGCTTTAGTTAGACAAGTGCGCTAGTTAGAAACTGCATTGTTCCTGCAAGCGCTCCACACGCGCACCGTGCATGTCGCAAAGGTTGCGGCGACGAGGACAGCCCGGTGAAAGCCGCCAACTAAGGGAGAGCCGCTGTGCAGGTGGTTCCGACGAGCTCACTAAGTGCATGAAGCTCCATGCGTGTGCTCCCTACCAGGGCTCAATCTCTAGGCGACAAGAGAATGGAGCTCCATGCGTCCACGGAACGTCCATACCACGCCCTGCTGACGCCTCCTCGCGGCGCAAAAATCGGGTTCATGTGCCACTCCCGCTGTGTGGGCCCTGTCGGAAGTCGAGCGAATTTTGACAGACGAGCGAGGAGCCTGTTAGGAGGCTGGAGTCTCGTCACGAGGGGTCCGCATTGAGATATCATGTGCGCCATGGCGGATAGGATGTGTGTTTTTAAAGTACAGTGTCACTTCAGTGAGTCTGTGCGTGCACCCAGGCCACAGAATCGCACAGGGGTCGTGAAGCCTTTAATCGCTGGAGGAATCCTGGAGTTGGTTGCAAGTGATAAAATCAACAAGTGGGCAGTAGGGTGAACGGCTAGGTGAAGATTTATTGCGGCGCCTCAAAAGTACAATAAGCAAGTGGGCAGTGCGGACAGTGAGGTGAACGGCTAGCTGAAGCACCAGGACCAGGAAAAGGCAGGAGCAAATCCGGCACTGTAAGGAGGGAAACGAACGCAGCGGTAGGAGAAGGCAGCAGCAAATCCGCCATGGCTGCTCCATCCACGAGCACCCCAGTGGCTCTTCGCAGCAAGGGAAACGCCTTCTACGCCAGTGCTTTCACCGACGGCATCGACCCGCTCCTGAAGCGCAGCCGCCTCAACATCGCCCTCTCCAAGTATCGAGAGGCGCTGCGCCGCCACGTGGCAGAATCTCAGCCGTCCGCGGATGAGCTGTCTTCGTTGTGGAAGAACGTAGCTATGGTTTCATCTGCCCTGGCAGCTTGCCATGCAGATGCTTATAAGGCGTACAAGCCCCCTGTGATAGACGCTGCTGCATCGGAACGGGTCATGGTGAGAGCCATGCGCCGAGCCATGGAGGAAAGGGAGTGGGACTATAAGCAAATCGAGGAGCACTATAAGGAGGCTGTCAAGGCGTTCTGCCTGGCCCTTCTTTTTGGCAGTTGCGAGGCACGGAATAGGGCGGCAAAGGGTGGCAGCAACCGTCCAGCTCGCAGCACTCCAGCCAAACCGGAGGAGTGGCAGCAGAAGGTTCTGGGATCTTTCACCGATGTGATCTCCCAGATCAGGGCGTTTGCCCGCGTTGCTAGTAGCAGCACGGGGGGCAGGGCAGGGGGCATTTGCACATCTGCAGCAGGTGCCGGTGTGAGGGACAATGGAGAGCGGTTGCTGTGGGTGGTAATGGGTGCGTTTGGTGAGATGCGCGCACGGGACAGCTGGAAGCAGCACTTTGGTGATAAGGACGCTAACAAAGGTTCGCCCGATTCCCATTAAAACTTCCCCGTTCTTCTTGTTTTTACCCTTTTTTTTCACTTACTTTTTCGTGCCTATGCATGCGCCATCTTCGTCCCTTGTTGGAAAGCAGCAGTATAAGGGTATTTTCTCAGACTTCTCAGAGACTGGAAATCTGCTGCTGTCGACGCCTCCCCACACCCGCACCGCCAGTTGATTGGACAGCAACCTCCACACGCCACGTGGAGGCCTTTGCAGCCTTCCACGTGGCATTCTCTCAGTTCCTCCTGCACAAGGGCCAATCGCTGCTCACCATCAACCTCGCGCGCTGCTCGCACTCCCCCCAGCCAACCACTGCGGCCGGGATCACGGCGGGGGTTAACGGTATCAATCTGGGAGCTGGGGGGAAGAAGCCGACGCAGCTGGAGGTGCAGAGGGAGAGTGCGCGGTGCTTTGCCGAGTGTGAGCGCCCGCTGCGGCTGCTGGATGATGCTCTGCTCACGCTTGAGAGAAACGTGGCGGGTGAGTGGAGGCGATGGGTAAAAAGTTTCACCGAGATTTTCAGCAAATGTTCGGTCACTCTATCGTGAAGTTTCAGTACAGGTGAGTGGTCTGTTTACTGTGGCTCCTTGTGATTGCTTGTCTACTTGAAGCCTCGACTCCCATGCCTCTTTGGATGGTTTCTCATGTCTGCAGGAAGGTCGTGTGGTAACCAGTCGGTAACACAAGCCACCCTCACTGCCCTGCGCGATCAAGCCAAGGATCTGCAGGCCACCCACTTCACCGGCAGCTGTCTGTGTGATTCAGTTGAAACACTTGTCCGCACAATGGCCCTCTTTGCACGAGCAACAGCAGCAGAAAAAACAGATGGGGGCAGCACGGATGGCGGTAGTCCGGGCGGCAGTGCTGCTGACGTGGCGCTGCTGTGGGTGGCAGTGGATGGGTTTAAGGAGGCGGTAGTGCTGACGAGGGAGTGCCACGTGGACATGGAAGCGTATGCGCTGAGCTGGCTGGGGCATGTGTATGACGTGGCACTGCAGATGGACGACATTGGCCATCGCTACCACCAGCGCGCTGTGCAGGTACTTTTTCTGACAAAGATGGGTGAGCAGATTTAAGTTGCAACTTGACTTCTAGAATCCTACTGTTAGTGCAGATGGGTAACTAGTTTAGCTGGATAACCAGTGCAGCTGGTTGATTCATGCAGGGGGGTAACCAGTGCAGCAGCTCATCAGTGCATTTGCCTTCTGTGTGCCTGTCTCCCACATGCCCCTCCGCAGCTGGTGCTCTCGGCCGTGCAATCCCACCCCAAGCTCGCTCTTTCCACCTGGTACTGTGCCTCGGAAAAAGCCATTGACCGCCACCAGGCCAAGGTGAGGCGGCAGGAGGAGCAGCAGCGCGAGCAGGAGCGCGGACCTCTGCTGGCAAAGATGAAACCGGAGCTTGAAACCCTCTCCAAGATGAGTGAGAGCGGGTGGAAGCAGCTTCTGACTCACATCTACAGCAAGTACCCGCCTAAGAGCGGTAACGGGAATTTGACGTGTCCTTCGTTGAACGCGGATGATGCAAAGGCGTCGCTGCGAACAGCCATTCTGCATTACCATCCGGATAAGAACGGTGAGCATGGCGACAGGTGGAAGATCCTGTGTGAGGAGATCACCAAGTGTCTCAACGCCAAGTATCTCAGCTTCAAGTAGGTACTACAGTCTTCACCTGTGTGTTGTGCAAGTTTGCTTGGGCTCACTCAAGCAAGACTAGAGGATTCTGAATGAGAAAGCTTGGGCCTGCAGTAATGAGAAAGCTGTCAGTGATGAGTTTCCGGATCCTAGTCCATATTAGGCTTCATGCTGTGGAACTGGTTGTGTGTTGTCTTTTCTGCCGGAAATTCTGTGCGCGACGCACGTTCAACATTGTAAACAATGATAGTGCCTCACCAAACAAACCACTACAGTACTACAGCGATTTGCTTTCAGCAGCATACTGGTAATTGGTTCCATGCACAAACATCACAAGGCAATGCAAATAACCAAGACGTGTGCATTCAGTGTTTCACAAATCAGCAGCCCAGCCAAACACGCCAGCAAATCCGGACTTCCGGAAGCAGCTCGGTCAAGCAAGTCATGCCATCTAGATTCTTCACTGCTGCCTTTCCTCTGCTGTTCCTCCTGCTCCCTAAGGAAGCTGAAAGACCCAAGTAGAAGCTAGATGTTTCGATTATAACCTTGGAGCAACGTGGAAGACTTAGTCGGAGGAGAGGACGTTGAGGTACTGCTCCCACCCATCCGTCTCCAGCTGCCCTGCCTTCTCCAGCACCATGCCCTCTAGGTCCTTCTGGTACGCCACCATGCTGTGGGCAAGAGAGGAGTGGAGAGGAGTGGAGAGGAGAGGAAGGGAGTGGAGAGGAGTGGAAGGGAAGTGGGGGTTATGGAGCGAAAGAGATGGTGAGCACAAAGGGTCCGCCCTGCCTTCTCCAGCACCATGCCCTCTAGGCCCTTCTGGTATGCCACAATGCTGTGGACACGGGGAATAGAGGAGTGGAGGGGTGTGGAGAGGAATGGAGAGGAGAGGAGTGGAGTGGAGAAGACTGGAGAGAGTGGAAGGGTTTGGGGTAGGGGGGAGACTGCCTTTTCCAGCACCATGCCCTCTACCCGTCTGGTACACCACCATGCCTTGATGGTGGCGCGGGGAGAGGGGGTGGGGGGGAGGAGGGGGAAGGGGGAAGGGGGATGATGGAGGGAAATCAGTGGAACACAAGGAAACCCTGCCTTGTCAAAGACACCTGGACACCACTCGAGACTTGAAAGCGTGCAATGCTGACCAGATACGTACCGGTCCAAGAGAGCAGGATCGGACGCTCCCAGCATGCGCACGGCCAGCAGAGCAGCGTTGACTGCGTTGTTGATCGCCACTGTGGCCACTGGAATGCCACGTGGCATCTGGTGATTGGAGAGGGGGAGGAACGGGAAAAGGAGGGGCAGAGAGGAGAGTTAGGGAATGGTGGGTAAGGCTGATGACAGTGCTTCAATTAAATGGACAGAAGGAGTTTAGCCAAAACAAGGAGATTTGTGAAAGCACGCCATGGCATTTTCTCTTCAAGATTCAACCACAAAATAAAAAGGAAAGCCTCAGAATCCCCCCGAGGAATCACCTGAACGATGGAGAGCAGCGAGTCCATGCCACCGAGGGCCGAGCCCTTCACTGGCACGCCAATCACCGGGAGAGGTGAC